GTTGTTTTAGCCTCTGCAAGAACAAAACAAATTAGTTAGAGGCAAGTGAAATGATTCATGGATTGAACTAATTGGTTAATTACCTGAAGTGCGCTCCGAAGTATCCCAACTTCATTCTCTGACCCAGCAGGTGTGCCAAGGGCAACACCCGCGTCGTTCACGGACCTCATCAGCTCACGTGCCTGCAAGTGGATTTAATATTGTGAGAACATGTAGGTGTATGTGAAATGAACAACTCTGAGCCTTAATACTTACCACTCGGTCACGTACAGGCCCGTACTCGACCGTCGCCCCTGCTCGAGTGTAGGCGTCATACTCGTTCATCTCCTCAACATCCTCGGGATCTGTAGCTATGTCAGCTAGAGTCCATGCCGGCCGAAGGAAAAGGCGGTAGTTCCTCAGGAGCCAAGCTAGGTACTCGTCGAAGTATGTCTTGTTGTGCTCCACTCCGTGAGGCACTACGTTAGCTGCTGTGTTGTCCCACCGCTCAATAAGATGGAGATGATGAGCATGCCAGTCCGTAATCTTCTTGTTCTTCCTGCGGTCCAACCTACAGTCATTCAACAAAACAAATAATTTGGTTAGAACTTGAGTAACCAATGCCGAAGAGAAAGTTTGAAAATGATATGCACAATGCAAATCTTACTTGTGGAGGTCGAGCCCCGTCGGGAATGGTTCTGGTATGGGTTGACGCAAGCCGAACTGCCTTAGCACGCGATGAATGAGCTGCCACTCAACGACGTAGAAGCAAATCAAGGGGCACCTGAGAAACTTCATATCCTCCGGTATGTAGCACATGGCGTTGATGTCGATCCCTATGTGCTCATACGGCTGCCACACCACCTGGTTTCACAAAAAGAACATGTTAGGCCACTGTTAGAAAATAACAAGTACATCAGAAAAAATTAATTAGTAACTCACGTGCTGAGGCTGGAGGCAATCCATCTCATTTGTGTAGTGGTAGTAGGCCTCATTTTTGCGCCCTACTACTGGCTGTGGGACAAGCTCCCAAAGAAAAGCAACCGTGGGACGCCTCTCCTCCTGCTGCCATGGCCACTGAGGGTGGTTGTGCCACATCGGTCGTCCAACGGGAAGCCTAATCCACATCCAAATCTGCGAGACAATGTTCACAAGTACAAGTTAGTAACGTATCGATATGATGGTGGAATGTACAAAAAAAATAAAAGAAATCGAACCTGTAGCAACCACACACAGCCTGCTAGGTTAGAGGTGTTAGAAAGACGCTGGCAGGCATCACACAACTGCCTGTACAAGCAAGCTAGGGCTGCCGAACCCCAACTGTACTGCCCTGCCTCTGTCCAATCCCCTAGAAGACGAAGCCACATCCAGGAAGCCATGTCACCACCTGAATCAGGAAACAACACACTGCCGAAGTAGTAGAGCACGTATGCCCTGCAGTAACGATCGACCGTCAAGTCGTCAGCGTCCTGCGGGCAGTGACTGAAGGTGGTGCACAACCACTGGAGGGGAACTCCAGAAGTCTTCGTAAGCCTCTGACCGGCAGGGGCTTCCGGAGGCTAGACTCCAAGGTAGTTGGCCACCGTCAGCCGCCAGTTACCCGAGCTCGTGTCACCGGTGACCGCTCTCCCCTGGATGGGGAGAGCCAGGATTATGGCGACATCCTCGAGTGTCACCGTCAGCTCGCCACAAGGAAGGTGGAAGGTGTGTGTCTCCAGTCGCCACCGGTCGATGAGCGCTGTGAGTGCTGGCCCGTTGTAAACAAGCATTGGCCTCTGAGCCATGGTGATGAACGGCGTGAGCTTGGCGGCCCCTAGTCGAGGGATGTAGCGGTTGTCGAAGGGCATATGCCCTGCCAAGTGCCCTCGAATCCGCAACGGCTTCAGACCCTGTGCACAAAACAACAATTGAACAAATGAGATTCATCGAACAATTGAACAAGTGAATAATAAGCAATTAATAGTATATTACCCCTCCCTCCGCTATCCTGCGAGCTCGGTGCCTCTCCTCGTACTGCGGCTCCAAAGCTAGGGCCTGCGCCATCCTGCATATGGAAAAAAGAAGTTAGAAACATGTAAATATAAGTGAAATAGTAAAAGTAAGCAAATTGTGAATTTAACTGAAATTATTGACATGCAAATATGAATGATGCAATGAAACAAAAGCAAACTGTGCATTCTAACCACCTGTGTACTAGGACCTTCTCCCCCTCTACAAGTGCGTCGTCGTTTTCTGGGCCGATCCTTAGACTTGTCGCGCTTAGGGCATGTAGTCTTCTTATGACTTACTTTGTGGCATATGGAACACCTATTAGGCACTACACGCTCAGAATTGCCATCATTCGGCTTCTGTGACCAACCAAGACCGATCCCCTTGTATCCCCTATCCATGTCATTGATGAACCTTTTAGTTCTTCTTCTGCCAGGAGTAACAATCATCTTTGACAAGTCTGGTACAAACACCTCACCGTCGTAACTTGGCCATTGAGTTGGATCTAGATATGGCTCGAACCTAGGGGAGTATGTACGTTGCAAAGCTACGTTAGAAGCTTCAAAGCATATCCTAGGGGGCGCCTCTGCATCCATACGTCTTAGCCTACAAACAGTGAACATGTGGGAGCATGGCATGTGGTGCAATTCCGGATATTGGCATGTACAAGTGTTGGCTGTCGCAACCACCGTATAATGTCGGCCACCCCATTGCACTCCACCTTCTGTAACTCCACCTTGCTCAGTCACTTCGTACTTCGCTGTAGGGAAGTCGAAGCAAGTCGTACGTTGGCCCAGAGTACGTGCTTTCTGTATGTCAAGCTCCTTCTTAATTCTTTTCGGCCACTTCTCACGCTTTTGTAATGCAGCTGTCACGAACTTATGCCTATCAACAAACCACGTATTGCACTTGCTGAACGTGTATGCCACGATGGCTGTTACTGGTAGCCTACGAATGCCTCTGAGCACATTGTTGAAACTCTCTGCCATGTTGCTCGTCATGAAGCCGAATCTACGACCTCCAGGATCACAGGACCGTGCCCACTTGTGCCTCTGTGGCATAATGTCTAGAAGCCACTTCTTTGGTCGAGGCTCAAGGAAATCAATGAGGTGCTTCACCTCCTTCTTGAACTCAGACTTCTCATTTATTTGACAAATGCGCTCTAGATCCTTCATCTGAATTTGAGTTGCACCAGCGCTGTAGAAGTTAGCACACAAGTGACGCATACACCATCTGTGATGTATTGGACGGTGACCTGGGATGACATTGTTGATTGACCGTAGGATGCCTTGGTGTCTATCTGAGATGATGCACACTTCTCTCTTGGGTCCTATCAAGCATCTCCTAATCATACTGATGAACCACTCCCAGTTGTAGTTATTCTCCCTCTCTACCAGAGCAAAGGCTAAGGGGACTAGTTGCAAACCCGCATCAGAACCAATTGCTGTCAGCAAAGTACCTTGAAATTTCCCTGTCAAGAAGGTATCGTCAATTGCTATCACTGGACGCATGTGGTTGAAGGCCTCCACACACTGCCCAAAGATCCATGCGGCACGCCCAAATACACGTCTCATTACCCCATCAACTGGCCTCGACCTCTCTGGGTGAGGCTCAACAACATAATGCATTGTGGGGTTCTTAGCCTTAATAGCATTTAGAAGCATTGGGATCCGAACATATGCCTCATCCCAATCTCCCCATATGTTGTTCATGGCCACCTGCTTTGCACGCCAAGCTTTACCGTACGAAGGACGATAGTGCCATATGGCCTCCACAGCCTCAACTATAGCAGCAGGAGTCAATGTCGGCTCAGCTCGGACAAATGGTTGCAACCTATTACCGATGAACTTAGAAGTTAGTTGCAAGTGCTTGCCCGAAGCCTCAGCACTACAACATGTGTGCTCTTTGCCTACACCGGTAACTCTCCACCTCCCATCCTTAGTCTTCCTTGCACGAACCTGTCATTCGCATGATTCTTCGATGCAGGCCACCGTATACTTTTTAGAAGCGTTGGAGTGCTTCACATGGAATGGACGATGCACACTGATCGAGTAACTCTGCAGCCATATCTGTAATAGCTCAAGAGATTTAAATTCCAAACCCTTCTTTGGCTCCTCACCCATTGCATCGATGATGCCATTGTATGTTACTCCTCCATCAACAACTGCTAGCTCAGAATTGCTAACATCCTCGAACTGAACAACCTCTGGATTGCGTCCAACTAATTTCTCAAACACCTCCCTTTCTTCCTGAGACATCTTGGCTACTGGATGATCGTCATCTGAGTCTACGGCATACTCAACCTCATATCCCTCCTCCTCATGTGTGTCATCATACTCCTCTGAATGTTCGTGCAGCAAATCAACACTCAATCCATTCATCAATAAAGTCTCCTCACACTCCCTCCGAGTATATATTTTGTCTCGAAAACAAAACCGCACCAAGGATGCTAATTGAGCATCCGTTGTACGCTCTTCTCCACCTCCCCCCATTGATCCATCTGCCACTTCATTATCATCATCAACATGATTTCCAACTATCGGAACTGCCTGACTCCTTGCCTCATTCACCTCTATTGCTTCCTCCTTATGCAATTCCACATTTATCTCCACCCCTTCTGATTCAAGCCTGCTTGACTTATTAGCCTCAACTGCTTCCTCCTTCTGCAACTCCACATTTATCTCCACCCTTTCAGATTCATGACTCCTTCTCTCATTCGCATCAGCTGCTTCCTTCTTTTGCATGTTAACATCAACCCCCATCCCTTGAGATTCTATGACTTCCTCAACTGTCAAAGACTTAACCGACTGACTTTTCATATCTCCTTCATCATCAAATGCTTCATAGTTTGGTTCATCATAAAACAGTGTGCGATTGAGGTCAAAAGAATCATCTCTACAGTCAGTACGATCAAGCTTCGAAGCAACCACTTCAAGCGACTTGAATTAGGAGCCCAACACTATATCCACATATGTGTTCCACTCCAACTCCCCATTCAAATCTAGCATGTACTTATGTGAAATGGGTCCTGCTCCAACATCATATCTACCTTGTATAGCTATAGACTGATTGCTCCACCCCAGCACATCTTTTGTACGACAAACTAACTCCTCAAAACTAGGTTTTCCACCAAATATAAGTTGCTTAACACTCATCCCCTCGAAATTGCTACCACTGTTACTTTGCTCTACCACCGAACCACCATAGTGCAATCGTACTAATCTATCCATCTACAACATTAACCGACATATTAGCATATTGCATTTTTTAAAAACTTGAATTTGCAATAAAAAAAATCTAACCTACAACTATGTCCCCCAACGAAATTGTCCATAAATATCTAAACATACACAAACTTCCATTGGTAACGATCCATCCTAAATTTGAACTCTCGCATTGTGATGAAAACTTAAAAAAAAAGAAGTGTTCTTCCCTAAGTGCCAAAAATCTCCACTAAAAATTAGGGTTCTATGAGCATCTAACCATTGCATCACCAACAACAACCACAACCACAGAGTAGAGAACCAACTAATTAGGGAAAATAACCCCAAATCACTATTCTAGGGTTCATCCATCAATGAGCAAATCCAAGCAAAAAAATGCGAAATGACGAGAGGATTCGGAGGAGAATACCTTGCCACTATGTCCTCCAACAATTTCCCCTCCAAAATGCGACGATTTAGTGGGGATTTTTTCGATTTTTTGGAGGGGAGGAGAGAGATAGTTCGGCGCCGCCGCGCCTCAGCCGACAGCCACTGAGGAAGAAAGAAGGCTCGGGCTGCTGGGCGCGGCTTGGCCAAGGGTTATAGGACCTCAGCGCCAGACCCGATGGCGCTGAGGTCCCGAAGTTCAGCGCCAAGTCGGTCGGCGCTGACATTGCGCCGTTCGCCTTAGGGCCGTCAAGTACTCAGCGCCGATGCGGTTGGCACTGAGGTGTTCAACCTCAGCACCATCGACCTTAGCGCTGAGGTCAGGGTCCAGATCTGGTGATAGTTTTTGCCAGGGACCAAATTTACAAATAGTTTCCAAAAAGGGCCAAATTGTCAAATTTGCGGCTCACTATAGTCACCCCTCGAATACGAGTACCATCCCACTAATCACACGAACCCGACCTATCCTCAAGAAGATGCGATGTCTACGCTGTTTCCACCCCCATGTCGTCAGTTTTTGCCCCCGAAGTGAAGTAGTAGCAACTAACAACTCACCCCATTCCATCGAAGTTGGGCTTGGAGATCCGCCCATCCCAAACATCAAGGACTTGGCGCTTCGCCTGCCGCATGAACTGGAGCAGTTTGGCCTCTCATTCCATCGAAGTTGGGCCCGGAGATCCGCGCATCCCAAACATCAAGGATTTGGCGCTTCGCCTGCTGCATGAACTGGAGCAGTTTGGCCTTGGATAGCGGAGGGTGCTGCACCGGGACGTCGTCGAACAGCACCGAGGGGATCGGACCCTCCGTGATCATGGAGGTGGCGAGGCCGAGGAGGAGCTCGCCCAGCCCCCGCACCTTGTCCTCGACGATGCCGCCGCCGAGCTGCTTGTGGAGGAGAGCGTTGCCGGCGTGCTGCAGGCTTGTGACGCGCAGGAGCTCGTCCCCGGCAAAGTGATAGGCCCCGTCGTCGTCTTCGTCGGCGTCGTCGAGTACGCAGGCGGTGAGGCGGAGGCGGACGGACTCGAGGCTGATCGGGGAGCCGGGAGCGGGAGGTGGGTGCTGCGCGGTGGTGAAGGCGCGAATCAGGTAGTCCAGGCTCTCGGCGGCGGCCGCGATGTCCCGATGAACGGCGATCAGGAGCTCCAGCTTCGGCATGTCCCGAATCTCCCACTTCTTCTCGCCACCGAGCTGACGCGAGAGGATGGCGTGGACGGCGCGAGCCTGCCTGATGCCGCCGTGCAGCGCCACCACCTTGGCCTTGAACCCCACGTGATGGCCATACATGTCGACCACACGGCGCGCATCCTGGAGAGACCTGACATGGCCGGCTTTCCTGCGGCCGCGGCCTCGGGGATCCCTCGCCATTGCTCTCGATACTCACGCTCGCTCGGTCGCTTCTCACGTGGTGGATTGATTGGCCTTTGGGGACCTGATGCGAGGCGGGTGTGCGAGCGATTTGCGAGGCCAATGACTAGCAATTTATAGGTGAATCGACGCCGGCGGCGGATTGCTTCTGGAAGGTTCAGGCGCAGCGCATGTGGGTGACGCGGGGAGGCATTACTCTGGATAAGTTTCTTGCTAGGCAAGCAACCCGCTATTCTCACCCGCGGCGAGCTCATTTGGAGAGAGAGAGAGAGAGAGAGAGAGAGGGGGGGGGGGGGAGAGAGGGAGGGGGGAACCGCCATTACTTGCCGGAGGTTGAAGAAGCAGCCTTGGCCGTCGGATCACGATCTAACGGCCCAAGATATTAGTCATGTGACTTTCTTTTTTTTCTTGGAACTGATAGTCACCTGACGTTTAGCGATATGGAAGAAGCAATGCAGGAATCAATCTGTGCTGTAAGTTTTAGTTGTATAACAGTAGTACTACTACAACCAATGTAATTCTCTCATGATTTTATTCATGCGTTGGGCCGGTGGTACTAACGGAAAAATAGTTAGTACTTCGTACACAATTAATTAAATTTAGTTATTACAAATTTGATAGATAAATATATTTAATATATTTAAAAAAAATTTATATAATTTTTTGGCACAAAATATAGTTTCAAAAATATGCTAACGAAAATCGAGAAAAAATCTGAATCAAAAGAAAAAAAAAAGCCCATATACCAACGGGGTGGACATTCCGGACTGAAATCATTTCATATATTTTGATCGAAATTTTTATTTTTTCATGAATTTTGATAATATTTATTTAAATTTAACTAAATTTTGTTTCGAATTTCGGAATTTTCAAACCGAAATTTTTGAATTTTCGTCATATCAGCACCTCCAGGTACAGACACCGAAAACGAAAAGTCGAACACTGTATACCAGTCGCGACTAGTAAATGACCTGTAGTATAATGCATCGCTCTTAACAATATACTGGAGTATAGGAGTAGCTAATACGACATAAACCAAACAAAATTAAGCTAAATATATAATCGATCTGTGCGACGTGCCAAGGTAGTACTAGTGCAGTGCGCATGTTGCGAGTTGCGACTTGGGAGTGGTGATGACCAGAGCAGGATGCGCCCGCTCGGTCGGTCGTCCCCGCGGCTATGCATGCCAGGTAGGCAGGCGGGTACGGGGTTTTTAACTATTTGCCACTGTTACGGAGTGCCATTATTAAAATATCATTTTTCTAAATTTTTTTACACAAACACCACATAAGAGAGAGAGAGAGGGGTATTTTTCCTATCTAAAGTGTCATACCAGTAAGAGTGACTTGAAATGACCTTTTTACCCCTAATTTGAGAAATATCAGAAATTATATACAAACATATATAATAAAATATTATTTATTATATCTCAAAAAAGAGTTATCGCGGGCAAATATACGTCGAACAAGCTCACCATAATTTAATAATAGATTCAACATATGGTGAACTTGTTCAACATATATTTATCCGTGATAACTTTTTAATATAATATAGTACATACTTACTAGGTTGAATCTATTATTAAATTGTGGTGAACTTATTCAATGTATGTCTGCCCGTGATAACTCTTTTTAAAGATATAATAAACATTATTTTCTTATATATGTTCGTATATATTCTCTCATATTTCTCAAACTAGGGGTAGAAAGGTCATTTCAAGTCTCCCTTGCTGACATGGCACTCTAGCTACGAAAAATATCTCTCTCATGTGGTGTTTATGTAAAAAAATTTAGAAGAGTGATATTTCAATAGTGGTATTCCATAAGAGTGGCAAATAGTTAAAAACTCCGGCGGGTGCGGGTGTCATCGTGGCATTGCTCATCGCCGCCACGCACGACGCTCCGGGCTCCGGGTTGTCCCGAGAAAATTAGGATTATACTATCGTAAAAGAGTGGTTTCGTTGGAATGCTATCCCTTCAAACTGATTCACTGAAATGCTATTCTAAATTGGAGGTGTTCACTTAAATTGTTATTTTCATTCCTTTAGATAAATAGAAATATTTTTCCTCAATTATAACTTTTTCCCGAACCAAAATACCCCTGATACGGGCCCACCTATCATACTCCCTCCACTCTCTCCTCTTCCTCTCTCTCTCGGGAGCGCCGGTGGCCGGCGGCGAGCAGTGGCCGGCGGCGCCGCGTTGCTGTCCCTCTCTCTCTCCCCCTCCCCGCTCGCCGCCCTCCGCCCGCCCCGTCCGACCGCCTCCTTCTCTCCGCCACGACGCGCCGCCACCATCGTAGCCGTGCGCGCGGCCGCAGCGTCCAACTCCCCGCCTTCTTCTGGGCATCGCCATGGGGATCACCATGGGACACTCATCATGCTCTACGACAGCGCCGTTGAAGCTCAGTGTCGGCCTGTACGACAGCGCCGGCGACTCGCCGCCGGCGTACGACGGCGCGGCGCTCGGCGGCTGCGATGGCGCGCGGAGGCGCCGCTGCTCGTGGTACAGCACCTGCACAACCGTCTGCACCGGCAGGCGGTCGTTCTGCGCCGCGTGCGCGCACGCCTCGCGCGACAGCTTCTGGCAGTCCATCGCCCTGCAGGCCTCTCGCCCTCGCCCACGGAGAAATTCGGATGAGCCTATGGCATCAATCCACATAAGCATTTAGTGGAGTGATTAACGAAGGATTTAGCCATTTTTTAGTGATCGATATGAATGGCAGCTTCTAACCTTCAAGTAGATGTCGATGGCGCGGTACATGCCGTCCTCGTTGAACCTGGCGTGCTACGGGATGAGCTCAGCGAGGGCGGTGAACTAGTCAATGGACAGGTTCTCGTCGGAGGCGATCTTGGCGAGGTAGTTCTCCATGAGCCTGCCGACCTGGGCGACGTCGTTGTGCGGCCGCGACGCTGCCGAGCTGAAGTCGTCGTCGGTGGTGCAGTCCAGCCGTGGCGGCACCGCCGGCGCATCGCCCTCGTGGTCGAGGTAGCCGGCCAGGATCCTCTGCACGGCGTCGATGTCGTAGGCCGTTGTGGCTGCGGCGTCGGGCGAGGAGGACAGGATGAGGAGGTCGTCGAGCACGGCCTAGCCGAGCTGCGCCGCCATCCGCTTCTCGAGGTCGAGCCGGCACGCCAGCGACGGCGACGCGGCGCCGGCCACTGCTCGCCTCCCGCCACCGGCGCTCCCTCGATAGAGGGGAGGAGGAGAAGGAGAGAGTGGAGGGTATGACATGTGGGCTCATATCAGGGGTATTTTAGTAAAAAAAAAGTTAAAATTGAGGAAAAACATTTCTATTTATCTAAAATAGCGAAAATAGTATTTTGGTGAACACCTTCAGTTTAAGATAGCATTTTAGTGAATCAGTTTTAAGGGATATAGCATTCCAACGAAACCACTCTTTTGCGATAGTATAATCTCAATTTTCTCGGTCGTCCCCGCGACAGATTTGATGTGGCAGGTTGGTCAGCAGGTCTAGCCTAGGCTGAGCACGCGAAACAACAACAAACGTGCAGACTTGCAAGGACGCAGCATATGCCGGCTCGATGTACACGGTGTGTGTTTTGTGTTGTGTATAGCGGGGTTCCATTCATTGCTGGCTGTGCCCAACTCCAATGTTATACTGCTTACATCAAGGGCGTACAGTATGGCTTATCGTTCAGCTTATTCTTGTTTTATCCCTAAGATTTATTAGCATATAAAAACTAATCTATTATATAATTAAAGTAATAGAAAAATGAGGCTCTACGTTCACTCTCACGGCTTAGAAATTCTCATATTAATCGGAGAAAATGAAAAACAGAGTCCTTATAGAAATACAATTTAGAAATAGTTAAAATTCGGAATTAAAAAAATAAGGAATATTGGAAGAGGACTAGAGTCTATACAGAAATACAATTAAGAAATAATAGAAATTCAGAATTAAAAATAAGGAATATTAGAAATAAAATATAGAGTCCATATAGAAATACAATTAATAAATAATAGAAATTCAGAATTAAAAAATAAGGAATATTATAAGTAGAGTATAGAGTCCATATACAAATACAATTTAGAAATAATAGAAATTCAGAATTAAAAACTAAGAAATATTAGAAGTAGAGTATAGAGTCCATATAGAAATACAATTAAGAAATAATAAAAATTCGGAATTAAAAAATAAGGAATATTGAAGTAGGGTACAGAGTCCAAATAGAAATACAATTTAGAAATAATAGAAATTCGGAATTGAAAAATAAGGAATATTGAAGTAGAGTATAGAGTCTATATAGAAATACAATTAAGAAATAATAGAAATTCGGAATTAAAAAATAAGGAATATTGAAGTGGAGTATAGAGTCCATATAGAAATATAATTAAGAAATAATAGAAATTTAGAACTAAAAATAAGGAATATTACAAGTAAAGCATAGAGTCCATATAGGAATTTACAACTAAATAAAATTTGAAATAAACATAATAAAATTAAAAGTAGGGTTTAGAGTTCGTATAAAAATACAATTTACAAATAACTAAAATTCAAAATTTTAAAAAAAAACATGGGAAGAAGAGTCTAAGGTCAATATAGAAATGAGATTCGAAATTAAAAATTAACCAATATTGAAAGATGAGTTTAGAGTCCACCTAGAAATACAATTAGAAATAAGAAAAATTCAGAATTAAAAATAAATAATATTGGAAGAAGAGCCTAGAGTCTATATAGAAATATAATTTACAGATAACGAAAATTTAGAATTAAAAAAAGAAATATTAAAAGACGAGTCTAGAGTCCATATAGGAATATAATTTACAAATAACTAAAATTTGATATTAAAAATAATTAATAACTTACACGTATATAAAATACAATATGAATATTACATATTAGTAGTTTCGTAAAGTTAGTACATAATTTAAAATTATGTTGTCATTTTAATATATTTGAATAATACATTGAGAAAACATATATGCTATTATATGAGAGAAAATATAATGATGCTAGCCGCGCAATCTGCACGGGCCACCATGCTAGTTTATATAAACATATATATACACCTTTTAGCGATGTAAAAGCAAATAATATAAA